CGCCAGAAGCCTTGTCACAGCAGACGTCAAACTAACCCCTCTGTGGTTGCTACATTCACTATGAATCCCCTTTGTGAAACGGGGCACTACTCTCGATTCACCCCAGTTGTCTGGGACGGTCTCCTCCCAGATACACCCAAATAGGCTAGACAGGCACTGGCGAGGAATCCACCAAGCTTCTCGGTCTTCGCGGACACTCAGACATGTGAAACAGTTTTTCCTGACCCAGGAACTCTGATGGACACGGAAGGCTAAAGAAACGGAAGTCCAATAAAACGAGAATGCCAGAATATTATCTAATCTGATCCGTGCGACGGGCTCCCGAAAAATTCTTGTGATTGAAACCATCACGAACCAAAGTGGCGTGCCCGTCTCGAATGGATAAAGAAGCCTGGACCATGGCGGTGCTTTTAGTCCGCCGCTGCATGGCGTCGTCGTAAAACTTGTGTTTAATGTTAAAGTTACAGTCGGTTGGGGCATACATAAGCGGGAAACAACCAGATTCCCACCCATGAGACTACCTCACGGACGTTGTCAGAAGAATCGCACAGAGGTGACCATCAAAGGGTCAAGCAAGGGTTCCTCTGCCCGGTGACCTAGGACAATACCGGCAATACTGCCGCAGCAGTCTCTGGATCGTCACACTTGGGCAACTGGAAGCGAGTAAAAAGCTGCAGAACAGTTGGGTCAACCACGTTCCTCGCATCTTGATTTTTCGCCTCCGATACACAGCATACATCAATGTGAAGCGAGTCCGGTATGAGAGCAGAAGCAGCTTGTTGTCCTACTTGCTTCAGAGCGGGAACACTGAAAGCAGCACAATGGACTATGTCGATGCTCGAAGATTGATTTTTGGGTGACTGATTCTTTTGGTGCAGGTAGATGTTGCAGCTGAAACCGATGTAAAACTAAAACTATAGTTCAAAGGGTTGTGGGGGGTGCACAAATCGCACTGTAGGATCCAGTCTCTTCGTGACAGACGGTGATTAAAGAAATATAAATTTTCCATTTCATTCGCCCCGAAATTGCCAATTCTCGCAGGTGTGCAACAATACAAGCCCTACTGTAATCTCATGTGCGCGTCCTTTGAGACCTTTTTGAAACTCATCATGGAAGAACAGAAAACGTTAAGAACAAACGGTTTAATGGTGTATGCTAATCAAAGAACCGGACGAAAGTGGCAGACACCAGTGTTCGCATAGGGTCACACTGTGTTTAGTCAGTTTAACCTCACACACACAACCACGCAACATGCATGAAGCGGAATGGGGAGAATGAGGGAACATACATGAGTCAAAACGAGGAGACAACCTTGGTGTCACTCTAAACTTCTGTTAACCTGTCCCCATAGTGACCACGTTTCAAGGACACAAATTTGGCTGTGTAAATGATTGTTTTGAAAAGGCTAATCCATGTGAGCACTTTTACCAAACAAATTTGAAGCGGACCATCATAAACAGGAGATTTGGCTGGATTCAGTCGAAACCAATTTAGTGGGCAAAAGAGAATATTTATCGAATTTTGAAATAACTTGGAAACATCGATATCGAAACGTAGTTGACAAGTTGTAGAGATCTGTTCAATTTTCCACTGCTGAGGCTTTTGATTGCTAACGCTCTAGGTCTGGCTGCTCAATCGAGTGTATTGGAGCGGCAAACCACTTAGGTTGTAAGTTATATTTCCCATGATTCTGATGGTAGTGCAACTTGGTTTCCTGCTCCGCCCACTGTGGTATGTCAAAAGGTACGGTAGCTTCAAACAGCGGTTTATGGAGACTAAGGAGAGTTATTGCAACTGTATTCCTATGGTCATCACAGAATGTTCCACAAAATCGCCCTAGAAATTTTTTGGGCAGGGGGGGCGATAAGCGTCGAGTTATGAATGGTGAATCTGACTTTCTGAGCAATCAAGGCTTGTGTTCCTCTGGTCCGCGCGTTCATTCGACTTGATGTTCGGTTATTAACAGTGGCATTAGGTCCCCTCCCTCCCCCACTGTTTTTGTGCTCTCTTCACTCTAGGGCTTTTATATATAATATAACTAAACGAACTTTATGGTTGTACGGCAGTGAAGCATCAGTGGCAACACTGATGTTGCTGTCTTTGATGATTTGATGATGATGAGTGGCTGGCTTTCGGGCACTGGCGACAGTCACCAGTCAATATGATGTTCAGCTTCTTTCACCCTTTGGTTAGTTTGGCCATGGCAACCTATTTGAACCCGTAACTTTGTTCGTATTTGCAGCGCTTATGCTAGGAGGTAATGTAGACATGCCCTTACAGGTGATTTCTGATCCAACGGCTGCGTCTTAATGGTTGAGATTATTCGAAAGGTATTTGAATATTGCACATTTGAGTATTGCACACAAATTCTCAAATCTAGGGTCTGGTCTTGATTGGAGGTCATATTATTCCGTCCTCCGATGGCTATTGCAACCGACCATTCTAATGAGAAGTTGATTAACGCCTGTGACAGTGAGTAGTCACGCCGTTAACTAAAATCGACACCAGACCCACTGAAGGCGTATCTTGCGGTCAGCCAGAAGGAAACTATCTTTGGTACGACATGCGCTTAGCCCCTGCGCGGAAAGAACATTAAGCTGAAATATCGACAAAGCTGGTTCCGCTGCCATCGCTCACCTATGGTGAGTTACTCTGTGCATCTCGACTGCTCCTACCTAGACTTGGGCAACCTAGCAGTTTCTCAGCCATCGTGCTTCCTCCGGGCAGCATGGCAGCTAGGCACCGAAAGAGTGTTATTGCGGAATGTT